ATTTCCATGGGAACTGTGGCACCTTTGCTTTGGCTGATTTTTCCTTTTTTGGAATGGATGTATTCACCCAATGCCTGTATCCCCATTATATCTTGTAAGTTTTTTCAGTCTCATAGGCGGAAGGAACTTGCCTTGTCTCAGATTAGACTTTGGACTGTGGACTTCTGAGTTAATTCTGAAATCAGTTAAGACTTGGGGGACTGCTGAGAAAGGATTATTGTATTTTGCAATGTGAAAAGGACATGAGATTTCAGAGGGGCCAGTGGTTTCATGATATAGCTTGGATTTGTTTCCCCACCAAAATCTCACGTTAAATTGTAATCTCCAATGTAGGAGGAGGGACCTAGTAGGAGTTGATTGAATCATGGGGGAACATTTCCCCCTTGCTGTTCTGGTAACAGTGGTGACAGTGAGTGAATTCTCACAAGATCTGTTTGTTTAAAAGTGTGTAGCACCATCCTTTCTCTCTCTTGCTCTGGCTATGTAAGATGCGCCAACTTCCCCTTCACTTTCAGCCATGATTTAAAGTTTCCTGAGGCCACTTAAACCTGTTTTTCTTTATAAATTAGCCAGTAATAGGTAGTTCTTTATAGTGGTGCAAGAATGGACTAACAGAGAAGGGGTATTAAATGTTCTCTAATGGTAGAATTTACCAGTAAAGCATCTATCTGATGCAGAATTCTCCTTTGTGGGAAGATCTTTTTGATTACTAAGTCAATTTACTTGTTATCAGTCTGCCCCAATTTTTTATTTTTTCTGAGGTCAATTTGAATAGCTTACCTCCAGGAATTTGTCCATTGCATCTAGTTTGTCTAGTTGGCATACATTGTATATAATATTCCCTTATAACATTTTTTATTCCTGTAAGCTAAATAGAAGGTCCTCTCTTTTGTTCCAAGTTAGTAAATTGAATCTTATTTCTTTTATTCCTGGTCAGTCTAGCTAGAGATTTGTCAATTATGTTTATGATTTCAAAGAATTGATTTTGGCTTGATTTCTTATCTCTACTGTTTTCCTAATCCCTCTTTTACTATTTTCCACTGAAGTCTCTATTATTTCTATTGTGTTGTTTAGCTTTCCTTCTTTCTTTCCTTCCTTCCTTCCTTCCTTCCTTCCTTACTTACTTACTTCTTTCTTTTTTTTCAGAGTCACCTCCAACCTCCTCCATCACCCAGGCTGGAGTGAAATGGTGTGATCATGGCTCACTGCAGCCTTGACTTCCTGGACCCAGTGATTCTCACACTATAACCTCCTCAGTAGCTGAGGCCACAGGTGCACACCACTGGGCTAATTTTTGTATTTTGGTAGGGATGGGGTTTCTCTATATTACCCAGACTGGTCTCAAATTCCAGAGCTCAAGCAATCCACCTACCTCAGGCACCCAAATATTGGAATTATAGGCGTGAGCCACCACAGCTGACCTCTCTTCTGCTCTTCTTCTTTAGTTTGCTTAACCTTTTCCAATGTCTTTGTGATAAACATTACATTGTTGATTAGAGATTAAAATACACGTTATAATGTATTTTTATTTGTCTCAAAGTATTTTTCTGATTTTATTTCTTCCTTGAGTCACTGATTATTTAAGAATGTTGTATAATTACCACACACTTGTGAATTTCCAAAGTTTCCTTCATTATTAATTTCTACTTTCATTCCATTTTTGTCAGATAATGGAGTTCGTATTATTTCAATCATTTTCAATTTAATGATATTGGTTTTATGGCCTAATATGATCTATACTGATATACTAATAGAACATTCTAGGCGCACTTGAGAAGAATACTTATTCTGCTGTTGGGGGTAGAGTGTTTTATAGATATATCTTTTAGGTCTAGCTGCTTTATGGAGTTGTTCTATCTTGACCTTTACTTACTACATTTGCAGAGTTTCAAGGTCAGCAAGAGATGACAGCTTAGGGCCTTTCCAAGTGTTTCCTGAGTATATATAGTTTGCTCTTGTCTTTTTAGATTCCCAGAAATATGTTAAACTTTTATAAACTCCCTATGAACATCATTCTCTAGCTTTTCCTTTGAAGACTTTTGGCTAGTCAATAATTCTGCCATTGACGATCATGACAGTAGGACCATTGAAATAGGCTGACAACAGTCCTTGGATGACCTTGTCATAGACATCAACATCCATATCCTCATAAACAAGAGACTGTCTATAACAAATGTAAGCAGGAGAGGAGCCCTCCATGTGGTAACTTAACATGAGCTTGGAGAAACACATATATTCAGAAATATTTGGATGGATTTAAGGAAAATTAAGAGTTTTGACAAAGTACATGAAGTCAGAGTTATGGACATTCTCTTCTGTGTGTGTGTGTGTGTGTGTTATGTTGTGTCTGGTTTTTGTTTTTGTGTTTCCATTTGTACCAGACTGATGTGCCTTAGGTAACATGCCTTATTTTCCTTCCTAATGGTAATAACAATGTCAACTAAAATGTATTGAGCATGAACTTTTTTTCCAGGCATTATTATGTACAATTACAATGTATTGGATCAAATTCTCACAACCCTTTTGTACAAAGATCTATTTTTGTTAAATCCATATTAAAGAAGAATAATCTGGTCAGGTAGTGACCCACGCCTGTAATCCTAGCACTTTGGGAGGCTAAGGCAGGAGGATCACTTGAGCCCAGGAGGTCGAAGCTTCAGTGAGCTATGATTGTGCCACTGCACTCCAGTCTGGGTGACAGAGTAAGACACTGTCTCAAAAGAAGAAAAAAGAAGGACTAATTTCAGGTAAAGAGGGGCTAAATAACTCAACTAAAATTATAAGTCTAGTGTGAGTTAAAGTCATGATTTTTAACATGGACGGTGCAATTTCCAGAGGCTACACTCTCAACCCCTACCATTCACTTCCTTCTAAAAATGTAAATAGTGTAAAAAGATATTATTCATTTACCTTAGCTGTGAGAGCAAATAATTGTAAGAGTTTATATCCATTGTTCGGGACAATTCATTATCCTACAGTTGTAGGCTGATGAAACTTTCCATCGCTGTGTCACTTTTCTGTTAAAATTTTTTTCATTGACTCCTCATTTCACTCAGAGAAAAATGCAAAGTAGATAAATAACATACAAGGCTCTCTAGTTTCTGCTTTCTTCTTATCTGTCACCTTTCTACTTTTACCTCACTCACTTCTTTCCAATACTTCTGGCCCCCTTGTTGTTTCTGATACCCACCTGGCAAGCTTCAGTTTTGATCTCTGCCTAGAGACTCTTCCCAGTAATGTCAACCTGAGTAACTTCCTCAGCCTCTGTAAGCTTTTGCTAATAGCTTAGCTTTTGATGACGCAAGTACTGATGATACTACTTAATACTGCAACATCTACTACAGTCCTTCTCTGCTCTTCCAATCCCATTCATATGATCGATTTTCCCCATAGCATTCACACTTTTCTACCTTTGATAATAAACACTGATTTATTATAGTAATTGTTTATTGCCTATCTCTACTGCCAGAAAATCGGCTCCACAAAGTCAGTGATATGGCTTGCTTCAAATTGTAGGTGATCATTTGTTGAGAAAAAGAACGCAAATAACTTTTAAAAGTGAAATAAACTTGAACACCAATGCATCTAACTGGCTCTGAGTATCATAATTCTCCAAGTCTATTCTAAACTTTCATCCTTTGGCTTTTGCACATGCTGCATTATCTATATAGATACTTTTCTCTCTTTTTCCACCTAGAAACTCCTGTCTTTCTGCTAAAATGACTCTTCCTAAGCAATTCTCATAAAATGCTTAATGCTTTCCTCCCATGAGCCTACATGTGGTTCAAACTTTATTTAGAGTGCCGTAAATATTGTATTTTAATCTATCTTTTAATTTTTTATTAAATTTTTTTTAGCCACAGACTCCATGACTACCTAACCTAGAACATTTATCTCTCATGTTTGTGTCTTTGGCGTCTAGTACAGTGATTGACATATAGTAAAGCCTTCAGTTAATGAAATAAATGATGCTTATTTCCTATTATCTATACCAAAATCTCTATGGACTTAAAATAGTTTTATGTTTATGAAAGCTTTTTACAATATAATAATATGAGCTCTGCTTATGATATTTATGTCCTTATAAAGACCAAAGGCTTGAAACAGAGTTGCTAGAATTTTCTTTACAGACAGCATTTGTAAGTAGGATACAGTATAAAATTTGCAAATCTATTATCTGTTGGTTGTTGTGTATGTGTGTATGCACATAGGCTTCAAGTAAGAGAACAGAAAGGCGTTGAGGGCTAATGCTTAACTGCATTAAAGTTATTTTTCAAGCACATTTCAAAAGAGGCCCCTTCTTCCTTAAAAGATATATAGCCTTTCTCACATGCTTCTGTCTGTCTAGAGGCTACACAAGTCAGCAACATCCATATTTTAGCAAAAGCAATCTAAGAAGAGCAGTATAATCAATTTCTCATCATTTTTGCTTTTGATACAATCAGTAGTATATGCATAGGGATGGATTAGAACAGCTTCTGTGGAATTTTTCAAGAAAAATATTTGCCAAAGGTTCATGTATCATATTTCCTTGGGTAATTATGCTCTCTCGTCCTTTTTTTATAAATGGCTCCAAAATAGCTCTTTTTAAATTCAGTCATATATTATCAGAATTATGTATAGTGTCCACCCAAAGATAAAATACAAGTGAAATGTTTTTCATTTTATATTAAAAGTTGGTGCTAGAGAATGCTTTCTATGGTAAGTTGATATGTAGAAAAATACCAATATGCAGGTTAATATCCTAATACTTTGAATTGCTTTGCTTTTTCCATAAAAGTTATTTATTTATCATTCTACACATTTCAGTCCAACTAATTGAGGAAGGAAATATATTGAATTATTATTTTAAAATTTGTTTATACACAAAAGTAATAATCATGTCAAATAATAATTTAAAAAATTTTGTTATTTAAAATATTTCCTTGGAACTGAGAGACTGTGTTTCTATAAGATTCTAGAATGGTAACTGATAGTGTAAAATGTTAGCAGATACAAACCAACAAGGATGGAATAGAGGATTCCTGGCCTATCTGATGGCGGTTGAATATTTCGGTCCTGATCTATGGCTTGGATTGGTGGCGTAACAACAATGGGGTTCAGTTCTTCCTGAAAAAAAAAATTAGAGAGTTTTCTTTAGCTGTATTACTAATATTTCATGAAGAGTTGAGACAGATGTTTTAGTTTGGAAATCTATACAACATCTGAGACAGTAAACTCAAGTTTCACCATTTATAATCTAATACCTTTTGCTAGTTAATTTTGAATGTTAAGAGGAAGCAAAGTAACCTCAAAGTCAAAATGGTAAGACATAGTAATTATGCACATAGACATTTATATCAGTAACTACTCCTAAAAGGAAAGCAAAGAATGATAATGCATTTTTAATTTTCTCTAGAGGATTTCACAAAAGAAATAGCAGGCTATCAAATAGTTTATGAAGTAATGTTTTCTCTTCTCCTTAGACAAAATTTGTAAGAATACTTGTATTCTTTCCTTGCTAAATCATTTTTTAGTTTCACATACATTAATTATATTAAAATATAAATACTTAAAGTAAATAACTTCATAAAAATAAAAGTCACATTATTGCAAATTTCATATAATTAAAATTGATTTTATATTATGCAGGTATGTACATGTATTTTGCAATGGTCTATAAGAAATAATGTTTAAAATTATAACATATTTATTTTATTCAGTGTTTCCCAATTTGGTGTCCAGTACTAGTCTGTTGTGCTATCAGGACTGGCAAACATTTTTCTGTAAGGGACCAGATAATAACTACCTTTAGGCTTTGCCAACCATATTGTCTATGTTGCAGCTACTGTCAACTCTGCCACTACAGCACAAAAGCCCAAGTGGGCGTGGCTCTGTTGCAACAAAACATTACAAAAACAGGTGGTAAGTGATATGAGGTTACTGACCACTGTGATCATAATAGTATGCTAAAAGTACAATAATAGGTATGTTGAAAAATAATAAAAAGCTTATCGACACAGATAAACCTGGGAAATAAGATATTAAATACAGTTTTGAAAACCAATTAACTGCACCGCAAATCTTTTCAGACTTAATTATGCTAATCTGCATACTGACTCTCTAAGAAAAGGATATTATTTGCTCACTTTCAAGAAACACCCATTAACCTCTTTTTGAAATAATACCTTTAGAACACAGTTTGTGAAACACTACTTTAAGTTTTGCAACCCTCATTCCAAATGTGTCAGTGGTAATTCTAAATGGAAGTAATTCTAAAGGGAAATTCCATTACACATTTGGGCTGAGGGCTGTGAAACTTAAACTACTGGTTCCCAAACACTTAGTATGTCTCAATATCTGACAACTTTACATTCTAAAAAATTGCTGCAATGTTCTCACATTATTTCTTCTGAAATGACAGAACATTGAAATATGTCATGTACTTTTATAAAAAGTCAGTAGTTTCAGTTCTCAGCAAAAATGTATAATGATGGCATGCTAAAAAAAGAGCAATGATATTAAAACATTATAATACTTAATTTTATGCTGAAAGTATAATAAGGATAATTATTGACCAATAATTCAAACATCATAGACACTGTAGAGGTTTCTCTTGAGTTCATTATCACTAATAGGTCCTAAGCAGTATAAATGTTATCAATATTTTCCTGAAAATAAAAAGTTGTTGGTAGTAGCAACTTACTAATACTCTATTCTCTCCTTTAAATGTGGAATCAGAACCATGAAAACCTCAAATCAATATCAAAATTACTCAATTAAATGCAGAAGATTATTGCTCCTCTCACACAACTCTCACTGAACCTTTCCTCCCACGCTGCTTCTCTCTCTCTCTCTCTCTCTCTCTCTCTCCCCACTCTTGACCTCCTGCTGCACTCCCTATCTTGCACACACACACACACACACGCACTTTTACAATAATCAATTTGCTTGGTATGCAATACCTGTGTTGCTCCCTAAATGGAATAAAAAATCTGAAGTTGTTTGAAATATGTATGTCTGAATACAGGAGTTAAGAGTTGACAAGCTCTTTCTAGTCATTTCTCTGAGGAATCTGATTGCATCAGCCAAAGTCAGCTTAAGGTTAAGCTGTATCACTCCTGGTTCATATAATTAAATCTGCAGTAATTTTTCCAAAACTGAGGCTCTATTAGGATCCTGTGAAAGCATTTCAAATCTGAGGATTTTCTGCAGTTCCATTCTGCATCTCATAGTCAGAAAAATATACCAATGTTTCCTAAACAATTTTTGCTATTATAAAATAAGTAATTTCTTATCTAGAAATTAAATTAAAATTGAATCTTAGCTTTTCTTTTGGAATGCTAAATGTAAGCAAATAATAATATTTGAGGATATGTTGGCTGATCACCTTCACCTATTTATTTCCATAGATTTGCTAAGTTACCTACACATAAGCAGTTTTAGCTTTGTTAATTAGTAATGTAGTATAAAACATTCTTTCTATAATATATAGAGTTGTTGAAATGAGCAACAGAATTTATTTACAATGAATTGTTGTCTAAGCAACATAAAAAAAATAACACATCAAACAAAACCAAGAGGAAGAGAGAAATGAAAATTAAATTCCTCATCTTACACATTTGCTTGTTAATTAAATATTATATATAAATATATAGTAAGAACTGAAGAAATAACAAGAAACAAGTATATTATTTAGAATTATATTGATAATCAGAAGGTGAAAAACTGTGAGTATCTCAGGATACTGAGCATGGAAGTGAGGGTAGATAGGATAGAAAATATTTTACATAAAGTCATTTGGTACTGTGTGACTATGTCATTACCATATCCTGTACTATTTGTTTTAACATTAATAATAAATAAATTATAGTATTGAGAATAAAAGAAAACAAACTCTCTTGATAAAGGCTTTCATAGGTTTCTGGAAATTTAAAAGAAACGGTGTGGTTTAAATAACTTACCAGAATTGACATTTTATCTTGTCCTATAGAGACTAGCAACTTATTTTAATATATTTATTTTTCCTTCTGCTACCATAAATGAGATTGTCAGATAATCTAGGATTAAAGGTGAAAATAATGATTTCTTAAATATTGTATGTATGATTACCTCTCAAGTAAATTGTGCTCCATGAAGCTTGACATTTTAAAATATTATTAATACATGACATTAAAGAATACTAAAAATTAGGATTTTTAGGATGATCTTGTTAAATATTTAACATATTTTATAAAGATATGTAGCATTGAAATCAGAGGTAGACAATTAATATGCATTCATTAGAAGAAACAACATAAATAACATGCATTATGTTTGAACTTCTGTCTGCCACCACAATCTCCACAGTAGATAGAACCAGGCCTGGGAAGGGTATTCATATAAGCAAGAACAACCCAGATGGAAATGGTTCCTTAGAATAAGTGAGAATTTTACAGAGAGAACAGAGGTCAAACAATAATACTATGTATGTATTCAGTTCAAGTTGTTGTTTTCTTTTTCCTTTTTTTTTTTTTTTTGAGACAGAGTCTCACTCTGTTGCCCAGGCTTGAGTGCAGTGACCTGATTTCGGCTCACTGCCAGCTCCACCGCCTGGGTTCACGTCATTCTCCTGCCTCAGCCTCCTGAGTAGCTGGGACTATAGGCGCCCGCCACCATGCCCGGCTAATTTTTATATTTTTAGTAGAGACGGGGTTTCACCGTTTTGGCCAGGATGGTCTGAATCTCTCGACCTCGTGATTCACCCACCTCGGCCTCCCAAAGTGCTGGGATTACAGGCGTTAGCCACTGCTTCTGGCCAATTCTTTTTCATTGAACACACCTTTATCTCTATGAAGAGAACAGAATTATTCTTGTCCATGAATTCAAGTAATGTAATCATTTACAGGATTTAGCAGATAGCAGATACTTAATATATTTTTGCCAACTTAGTCTACTGAGCTATCTAAAGAGATCACTACTCTCTAGTTAACTTTGTGATATCCACTACCCAGAAAATAGTCCATCTGTGGCTACTGCCAGATCTTCCACAGTTCTGAAAAGGCGATTGATTCAGTGACTTGTTTCTTCTGAAGAACAGAGTCTCTTCACGTAGGTAGTAATTGCTGTTGCTTATTCTCTGTTGCCCTTATTTATCTTAGCTTTTGACTTTACTGCCTAGATTATAGAGGAAGTACGGTATGTGTTGAAGAAATTAGAAGTCCACCCATAGCTCACATATGCTTGGGTATCCTTTATGGAAAGTATCAAAATGTTCCTCTATTTTATTATAATTGCTACATTTATCTTTTTACCAAAAGCTTTATTGGTCTGTGAGCAGAAAATATTTTATTTGTATTTATAACCCTCAGCCTAGTGCCTCATAGATTTCAACAAATTTTTGTTATCAAGCCAAGAAACACAAAATGAGTCCCCCGAACCCTGGAAGGCTCTTTTATACACTGCCTCTGAAGCAAAGCTTCCTTCTTTGCTGTCTCGTTTGTCTTCAAGAAGAGGTCATGTCTCCTGAATTCTGTTCCCGTTGATAAGCATATGTTAGAAGCACACAGGATAGCAGATTTGCATTTCATTGCTGTTTGAACTGTCAGAGCTACCTTCCCTGTCTTAGTCATGGGAACACATACCTAAAGTGAATTAGGTCCATATAAAAAGATTCATATTGTGAAGTTAATCACAGAAACGATTAAACAATAACAAAAAAAAGTCTTCTGTAAAAATACTGTGTAATTATATGGTTATAAACCTAAAGATTATTGTGTTATGAATACATGCTTCCTTTCATTAGCTTTTCTGGAGACACACCTTCTCTTTTGAGCAACGTGAAGGTAATGTTTTCAAGCACAACTGTTGTATTATTCTGAGAGGATAACAGTAGGCAATTAGCATTTGATGCGAGTGAGGGTTAATTATTCCTCATACAACCTCACTACCAGATTGAAAATGAACTTTTGGTCTGAATTCTGTTTTGTATATGTGTGTGTGTGTATGTGTGTGTGTGTGTGTGTGTGTGTGTGTATATATATATATATAAAATATATATATATAAAATATATATATAATTAATTAAAACATAATAGCAAACAATCACAAAAGATTAAGAAGCTTTGTTGTGGATTTAAGAAAATCTGGGT